GGGGGGCGCCCCCCCCCCCCGGGGGGGGGGGGGGGGGCTTCAGACCACTCCTTGAAAGTTTATATGTGCTTATATCAAAGTTGAAAAGAAGTAATGATTGAATTGATGTTGTTGTTCAAGGAACTTACCAAACTTGCTCCACAGTACATCACCCAGTGACTTTCTGCAGTTCCAACTCGTTCTATGAGGACTAGGGCAGCCTTCAGAGGTGACTTACAGATATCTAGAGTGAAACTCAAATATTTCAGACGCTCTTTGAGTTATTCTGTCCCTAAATTATAAAATTTATTACTGACTATTCTGAAAAAAATGCAACAATGTATAGTTAAAAATAAAATATCATACATTGATTGAATCAATGTCAACTTCGTAAACTAAATAAACATTTTTCATTTGATAGCTAAGACATTTACATGAGAAATACCGTAGGCAAGAACTTTTACAAAACTTATTGGAAGAAAAATGTCAAGAACTAGCACAAAAATTATTAGAAAAATCAAGACAAAGTGGAAAGACTGTAGATTCCAAGTCCGATTCAAAAGAAGATATCAAAGCTAAATCATCAACAGATACTTTCAAGGTAGGAATTACAGTATCGGTAATAAATTAATCCAGTTTCTCAGGTATAAGCCCACCTTTGGTATAATAATAATAATGATGATGGTGATGGTGGTGGTGGTGGTGGTGGTGATGGCGGCAGCGGCGACGACATTCTTAACAAAATCTTGTGGGCCAATGACCCTCAAAGTAGAGCACACCTGGCTTTAAACAGTGTTTTGTTCCCCCATATTTGAATGTCAGTAATAGAAATTGTTCAACAATATATAACTATGTAATTTGATTAATTGTTTAGGAGTCTAATCATCATGGAGCTGGGTCATCTGATCTGCCATTAGATGAGCAACTAAAAGATTTAGAATATCGCAATGCGAGTCTCTCCAAACATCTCCAGCACAGTCAAAAGCAGAATAAAGATTTGAGTGACAAACTTAAATCAGCTGAGAAAAATTCACAGGTATGGTACTTTGTCATATAAATACATGTCTAGATTTTATCAGTATAACTATGCAGTTCATGTATTATAATATAGCAGCATAACAAAAACAATAAATTTTTTTAATTATATCATTTATTTTCATCCGCCAGTACGTCATATTTTTAATCTATAATCCAGTTTTCCACTAGGTAAATTTATTTGCTCAAATCATCATTCACATTTCTATCGGCCAAGCCTTCAATTAGACGAATTCACTGTTCCTTGAGTTTTTTATTTCTGAGCTTTGATTGGTTGTTTTTTCCCTTTTTCCTAATTGAAAAACTCTGATAAAAACGTGTATGCGCATGAACCAACCCTTTTGGTTTGCGCGATCAATTTGTAGAAAACAGGCTTAATACATGCCTACGGAGCTTTGAGCTACTAGTACTAATTTGTTTCTTTTTCTATACCAAAATAATTCATAATTCATAATTTTATTTCACTTAAAACGTAATGAGTCTGTTAGGCAAAAAAGGGAACATATTCCTGTACAAGATGCCTACCAGAGAATCAATGATAATGGCAAAAACATAACAATAATAATAATAATAATAATAATAATAATAATAATAATAATAATAACAATAACAATAATAACAACAACAACAGCAGCAACAACAATAATATAACAATAAAATAATATAATAATAACGTAATGAGTCTGGTAGGCAAAAAAGGGAACATATCCTTGTACAAGATGCCTACCAGAGAATCAATGATAATGGCAAAAACATAACAATAATAATAATAATAATAATAACAATAACAACAACAACAATAACAATAACAGCAACAACAACAATAATAACAATAACAACAACAGCAACAATAATAATAATAACAATAACAACAACAGCAACAACAAGAATAATATAACAATAAAATAATATAATAATAATATTAATAACAATAATAATAATAATACAGATGATAATAATAATAATAAAAATAATAATAATAATGAATGAAGATCAAATAATAATAAAAATATTAATAATAATAATGAATGAAGATCAAATAATAATAAAAATATTAATAATAATAATGAATGAAGATCAAAATATTGTATTGAAGTGAATTTAGTTAGTTATTATAAAGTTAGTTAAAATAAATAAGCATATACTCTAATAATATGTTTTCTTTTTCTGTATTAGATATATGAACAGCGGTATCAAGAATTGCTAGAGACATTTCAGGCAATGACAACAGAGGTTGACACCAAATGTGAAAAATGCTTAGTTAAAGATGATGCGATTGAAACATTCAAAATGCAAACTGAGCATTTGAATGCCCAGGTAAATATATGTAGAATTTGAATGTTGCTAAAACATAGTATAGTATTGTTGAACAAGCAAAAGATTTTGATAGATAATTGAATTTATTTTTGTACGACTTGCAAAGTAGTTATTGTTTGTAGTAGCAGGCTGATCGAATAAAGGGAAATGAACATCTGAATACCCAGGTAAATGTATTTCTAGAATTTGAATGTTTGCTAAAAAGTAGTATAGTAATATTAGTAGGTAAGTAAGTAAGTTACCAAGTAGAAGATTTTGATGGATAATTGAAAATCAGCTTTTGTACGAGTTGAAAATGTCTTTACTTGTGTTTGTTGTAGTAACAAACTTTTTTCTGTCATGTGATAGTCACTTTGGTATGAAGAAACTCCTCCACTGTGTTTTTTAATTGTACACTCAGAGACACACTATCTCTGCTATATATATCAAGCCCGTAGCCAGGGGGGATTCGTTGGGTTCAAACGAACCCCCCCCCCATTTCATGAAGTGCCCTTTCAACAAAGGCTGGCTAGCCTACACTTTAGGCCTAGCCTGGAGCCTATCATCATTAAAAGTCCTATTTTAATACCTGATTGTCAATGTTAGGCCTACCTAGTAACATAAAAAAATTTATGGCCCCGAAACCTTGTCTTAGAAATACCGGTATGGTGTCCGGCGGGGGATAGTTTCACCTGTGTATATATATATATATGATTATAATACGCTACAACCAACCATACAAATTTGTCTTGGATATTTTTGTTATTGATTGTCTTAAGTGAGTATAGTATGATACAACTTCCAAAGTGCTATATAAATAAAAAATAAAGAATAAACCATACTGGATTCTTTGGAGTTTGTATCATGCTACTGTTGTTAAATTACCAATACTGTAGTACTAAAGTAGTAGTTTTTTTTTTTGTTTTTTTTTATCTTTTCCCAACTCAAAAAATTACCTCTTTAATATATACAATTTTTTTTAATGTATGTCCTCTCAAATCAATTAAATAACACCTGTAAATGCTTAGAATGCTGGACCCCCACCGGGGTTTTGGCTCTGGACCCCCCGGGGGGCCCTGCCGGCCCCCTGACTCCAGCCAATGGTGCTCGCAAGTGCCCTTTCAGTATCAATATACAACCTATAACACATTAACTACAATGTACTGTAAATTCTGTAGTTAACCTTCAGAGAACTTTATTTTTAAAAATGGCCTAATTAAGTATCTTATTGTTTTCGTTAAATTAGACAACGTTTAAATGTGGTTATATTACGCTAGTTTGAAGGTTTACTGTAAGCTAATCAGTTACACTTACTATACATCTTTATGGTTAGCATTAAGAGAACTAGAACGTCGCTCCATTAAGAGTGCCCACCTCCCCCCATATGCTTAAATACAGAATTCACGAATGCAGGCGATTTTTTCTTCATGCTCGAATGTGGGTTTCAAGGAAACTTTACAGACGCATGTATACAGACATCAATCAACATTTGGTTGCTCAACTCAAAAAAGGAACTTGTAATGTTCGTTAGAAAATGAAAAAAAATCTATTTTATAATAATAATAATAGGTCAATTTATAAGGCGCAAATAAACAAGGTGTCAGCACCAAATAATAATAATAATAATAATAATGATGATGATGATGACATTGTGTGTCACTGGTGCTGGGAACAGTCACAAAAGTGGGAGGCCAAGCTCCCCAGTAGAAAAAGTGGGTGGGCCAATGGCTCCTTGGCGCCCCCCCTCCCCCGCTTCCACCGCCATTGTTATTGGTAGGTACTCATTATATATATATGTATGTGTTTTTATTTTTAAAGTTGTCTGTATTTCAAGAAGACGAAAAGCACACACGAAAAGAAATATCAAACTTGAAAAAGAAACATGAATCTGAGATTGACCAGTGGGCCAGAAATTACTCAACGTTGAGTGATGAGGTAAGACCACAGTATAAACATTCATCTGTGTTATTTATATACACTCATGATATGTTATTTATGATTAAAATTGTTGTTGTGTTAGAAGGTAGAGCATTTAGATACATATTCAATACAGACACAGAATAAGAAACAAACAGGAACTAACCAAACAATGAATCAAACATTAATACAATACAGTGAATTCATATACAGATACATATTAAGATATAGACACAGATACATATTCAGATACAGACACAGATACATATTCAGATACAGACACATACATATTCAGACACAGTAACAGACACAGACATATATTGAGGTAAAGACACATACATATGCAGGTATAGGCACAGATGCATATTTAGATATAGACACAGATACATATTCAGATATTATAGTCATACATATTCAATACAGACACGGAATAAGAAACAAACAGGAACTAACCAAACAATGAATCAAACATTAATACAATACAATGAATTCATATACAGATACATATTAAGATATAGACACAGATACATATTCAGATACAGACACAGATACATATTCAGATACAGACACATACATATTCAGACACAGTAACAGACACAGACATATATTGAGGTAAAGACACATACATATGCAAGTATAGGCACAGATACATATTTAGATATAGACACAGATACATATTCAGATATTATAGGCACAGATACATACTCAGACACGGATACATTATATTCAGGTACATACAGACGTATATTTAGATACAGATACATATCCAGATACAGACAGATACATAGTCAGATATAGATACATACACATATTCAGATACAGACACATATTCAGATATAGACACAGATACATATTCAGGTACACACAGATGTATCATTAGATACAGATACATATTCAGATATAGACACAGATACATATTTAGATATAGACACAGATAATTCAGATACCGACACAGATACATATTCAGATATAGACAAAGATACTGTACATATTCAGATACAGACACAGATACATATTCAGATATGGACACAAACACTTATACAGATGTAGACACAGACAGATATAGACACAGATACATATTCAGGTAAACACAGATGTACATTTAGATACAGACACAGATACATATTGAGATATAGACACAGATACATATTGAGATATAGACACAGATACATATTGAGATATAGACACAGACAGATATAGACATACTTTAGATGCATATTTATTCAGGTACACACAGATGTATATTTAGATACAGATATATATTCAGGTAAGAGCACAGTACAGATACCTACTGTACAGATATAGACACTGATACAGCATAAACACGACCATATTCAGATTGCTATTAATCTGTCATATAATGTTCGTTTAGATAAAACCTGAATTTTGCTGTAGTTTTTACATGGACTCCTGGTGATTTGGCCTGAATAATGTATATGTATTTATTATCAATAATTATTCATTTTTTAAAGTTGGAGAAGATGAAAACCACACTTCAAGCCCAAAAGCAACATTATGAGCGTAAGTTAAGATCTATGGTGCAAGTGCAACCAGTTCTTGAGCCATACCAGTACAGACGGCCAGATAGTATGGACATGGGTAGGCGACGCCCTGTGGATGTTTGTGACGAGGAACCAGCACCCTCGAATCGTCATCAAAATCCTGCACCACCACTTCAAAGAACAGCACGTCTCCAAGATACGGCTCCGTTCATGGACATGCTTGAGTGCCCACGCTGTAAGCGTGAATTCCCACCTTCTCAGCAGAGGGAGCATGCAATACATGTGAATCGTTGTCTTGACGATTGATTGGAACTGAAATGACCCTCTAAGCTGCTGAAAATTTAATGAATCTGAATGTGGATTTTAGCTTGTTTAAAATGCGGTGCACACTTAGACTTAAAGTGTGCAGAAAACAAAAAAGAGCCCGCTAAAAAGTAGATGATAGACATATTGGCAGGGCTTCATGAGGTATTTTAAAATTTAAATTTAGTGCAGGTATCAAACTTAGATTTTATTAGGTATGCTCATGTCCATTCGATTGTGATTTCATGTTATGTAATATATTTGTTGGGCAGCATGAATAAGTATGAAATATTAATTAGTAACATATTGCTTATATTTTTATGTAGTACTGTATATAATTTTGTCCTATCTGGAAAATATCTTTTACTTATGTCTACATGATATCAGACAGTAGTCTGTCTACATTGTCAAGTATTTTGTGACAAATGTGTTATTTGCCCATATATAGGCATGATGATGTCATCACAAAATATATGGCATGATGATGTCATATCACACCATATATGGGCATGATGATGTCATATCACACCATATATGGGCATGGTGATGTCATACAACATATATGGGCATGATGATGTCATATCACAGCATATATGGGCATGATGATGTCATATCACAACATATATTGGCATGATGATGTCATATTACACCATATATGGGCATGATGATGTCACATCACACCATATATTGGCATGATGATGTCATATCACATCTATATATGGGCATGATGATGTCATATTACATCATATATGGGCATAATGATGTCATGTCATATCACAGCATATATGGGCATGATGATGTCATATCACAACATATATTGGCATGATGATGTCATATTACACCATATATGGGCATGATGATATCATATCACACCATATATTGGCATGATGATGTCATATCACATCTATATATGGGCATGATGATGTCATATTACATCATATATGGGCATAATGATTACATATCAAACCATATTATTATGGGCATGATTTTCACACTCATATATTTATTGACAAACCAAAGATATTTGTCACATAAAAAATTGTACTAATATTTATATTATTTGCATGCTTAAATATTAAAGTTTGAGACAGGAATGTTCATTAGTTTTGGTTTTGTGTATAACCCATATTAAAATGCCCTTCTGATATTTGTGATTGAATATTATATTTGCGATATGTTCTATTTTAACTCATTTATGAGTGATTTATGGTGATAGGCTTATGTAACTAATTGCGTGTATTATTTTGGTCAGCAAATTTCCCATGGCGCCGGTGGTGGGAGGTTATGGGCGGTGGGCCCCATATATGAGCGTATTGTGACTTCTGAAAGGCTAAGTATACAATGAATAAATGTCACCTTAGATAACCCGCTGTAAATACTGTATACATTCGGTCCAGAACAGAAAATAAGATCTAGAAAATTTCTCATGGTAATCACAGTGCAGTGCTCTTCCTTTTTCGTAGTACCTGTATACTGGGAGAAAATTCCCTACACTTTTTTTAGTGTAACTGCATATGTCGCTGAAAAATTAGTCTGTATTGTGAGAATGAGGCATGAGCTATGTCAAAATAAAATGAAATAAGCACAAAATAAACTGTGTAATGGTTACGCGTGAAACAATCATATTTATTCGTTTTTTTCTTAAGAGTACAAAACAGCCATTATAACATACTTAAGTATAGCTTAGATTTTTTTATTTGTTTGAAAGTGTCCATCTGTTTGGGATATCGCACTTCATACTTTACCACTAAATTTTAAAATTAAATTAATACAGCTATACGAACAAACTATTGAAAAGTTTATTTTTCAAAGAATATCGAACCTAATCTGTAACCATGGAGATATAAATCATGTGATATTCTACCTGCATGTTCGAACCATCTTGAAAACGTCTAAAACAAGACGAGTTAGATTCTACATGGAGGTATTACTGTATATTATTACCATAATACCTCCATGTATTCTATTAAAGACGTCTGAAACAAGACTAGTTCAGATTCCTTTGGAAACGTCTGAAACAAGACTAGTGTAGTGCAGATAAATCTGTGAAAACGTCTACAACAAGACTAGTTCAGATTCTCCATGGAGGTATTATAGTATTACTTAGTATTACTATAATACCTCCATGTATTCTATTGAAAACGTCTGAAACAAGACTACAGTAGTTCAGATGCTCTTGAAAACGACTGAAAAAAGACTAGTTCAGATTTTCTTGAAAACGTCTGAAACAAGACTAGTTCAGATTCTTTTGGTGATACTTGAGGTATAATTGATTAAACCATTCTACCACATACTACCATGAATATACAATTTATTACAAGCATACAATCTACACCTGTGCCAGGCTAATTGAACATTTTATCGTATATTATTTTAGGCCTATTAATTGGGAATTATTAGTTTCCCAAAATTCATTGGTTCTCATATATGTTCATCTTCATCGTATTCTCTTGTAGGCCCTATTAATTATTGTTTCGTTGAATTGCCTAATGTTAATATGTGTTTATTTTGCGTATAAATGCTTGTTGTTACGATCATGTGCCAGTTTACTTTCAACTTTCACGTTCGACATACTGGCTACGTTTCTATTAATTTCTAATTTTAGACAAATAATGATAAGGTGAGCCATACTACTACAATAAATAATGCAAAATAAGCTGTTTTGAAATTAGGTAAAATACTAACACCCTTTCCGTCTACACAGTACTTCTTTAGGTGCTTGTGTTAATAAACCTCTGAATTAGTCTCTAAAGTGCGACTATTGCATTACTAAATTTAGACATCGTACACTGATCGATCAGCTAGAGTTCGCGTTTGTTTCACAAAACACATATTTACATAGGCCTACCTTTATGGTCTTTTTTTGGGACCTTAGCGGATAGGTCCATTAAACTGACCTTTCCAGAGTGTCAATCAAACTTAACAACTGACCAATCAGAAAGGGTCAGGAATACGCGCGTGTTGTCCCACAAACGCATGTATTTGCGTATGTTTTTTTACACTGCCGTTTTGGGGGACCTTAGCAACAATATCCAAGGGGCGGGGCTTAGCGGAAAGGTGCATTAGGTTATGTCCCCCTGGATTAATCACTATATCTTATACGTTATCAAAATCATACATTCCAATCGATCACTTAGCTTTATTTCATCGTTATGGCAATTTTAGCACCAAAGATTAAATTAATTTGCCAAGTTTTAGGATCTATATATACAGTATCAAAATGAGGAACGCCGATTCTCAAATAGTATCGGTTAAATAGATTATATATTGACGTCAGTGTACTTAATGTTTTAAAATATTAAAAATCTGGTGGGAGTATACGAATCTTGAATTAAACCTGCATTCACATTGGATTCAGACCGCGTTTCCAATGCACTGAGCGCCAACGTCTCTATTCTTGCATACTGATCCGAAAATTCGGTGTGAATGCGCCTTAAGTTCTTTAAAATTAAAGTTTGATCATTATTACAAATAGTAAATGCATTCTGTTCACATCTTTGATATCTTCCAAGTATAAAAGTAGTGGTGATATAACACTTATAATAATAATAATAATAAATATATTAAAATAATAATTATAATAATAATGAATAATAATAATAAAATGCATTCTACTGTTTGATTCTGACGAAGTTAATGTTAATTAAACGCATTATCTTTCAGATTAATAATATACTTCAAAGTGATAACAAAAGGCACTGTTAAAATAATATACCGAGAAATAATGTAGGGAATGTTGTATACGTAGGCCTCATTTATCAATATTATGAAATATTAATTAAGCCTGATTTCCATTTTTAAAAAAATCGCTACACGCTATCGCCGACTCCTTTGGCGACGCTGATTGGTCAATTGGATCAGGGCGCGTTCCCGATTGCGTTGGGGACAGCTACGCGTTGCAGTGAAAACGTTGTAGCGACTGTGTAGCGATTCTATGGAAACAAGGCTTAAAATGCGCGCTACCTAATTCTAGGCTACTACACTGATATTTATATATTGAAACTTCAACTGGTTCTTTTGGTTATTCCATATTATTAAACGCATCATAATAGTTAATACATCATTATATACAAAAATATTGCGTAAAGCTAAACCTTAAAAAAAAATTACGAAAAAATATAATCGTCAGCAATAAATTGAATGAATAACAAAATATATTTTACATAAATACATACGGTACAGTTTTACGTTGCATAAGTCATATAAGTAAACAAGCAGTTTTTGAAATTGAACGTACATACAATTCATCGACTTAGTTCCTTTTACTTCAAAGATGTGTAATTTATGTACATAACATTTTTACACGCCATTCGAACCCGACGAATTATGCGTGCCCATAAAAATACTGTAAAGAGAGATTTCGAAAACTAAATAATTGAAACATTATGAAAACCTAACCTGAATTTATTTGTTTTTGGAAAGTAAGTCTAATAACCACAGGAGGATAAAATATCTTGTAATGGTCTAGTGGTGCTTTGGAGCGTCTTTTTGGTTTAGGCCTGCAGGCCTACTGCCCTACTGCGTGCCTCGTATTGCCGGCAATATTTAACACTAAGGTTTGAATTTCGTAGGCTATTATATTTACAATTTTTGCAAAGCATTTTTTAAGTACAGACAGGCTGATAAAATATTCCTGATGTCCAAAAAATATTGAGCAATTCTAGCAGAAACTTACTGGTTGAATGACATTACCATATTTTATTTCCCCAACATCACAATGAACTTTTTGTGATCTTGTATCAAAAATAAGTAAACTTTCTCTCATAGGAGTTGCTAGGTAACCATCTAGTAGACCGTCACTGACCACATGTCGATTATGCTCGTTCGGGGGCCAATCATCTGGATTTATTGGTTGTCCGTTAACAGTTATGACTTTCAAAGCCCCTGTTTTCAAGTTAACAAATAGAGCTTCATTATCTTCCCTTGGAGTTAAAAGCATATCGTACGAGTCACGTGTGACAGATGGAAAAAATGCAACATCACTGATAATGATATTTGCACGAATTTCAAAATGCTGTTCAACCTTGCCCAGTTCAGAGATAGTTTGAACAAAAATAGCGCCTTCATTATAATCAATACTAACGAGGAATTCTCCATTCGGTGATATCTTAGGCACACCTTTAATATGTTCATTTACTTCGACAACTTTTTCAGTAATGTAATCTATAATTAACTGTTTTCCAGTGTTTGAATTCCCGCAACTTACGACAAGATATCCCCCGAACGATACGTACGCGAGTGCGTGTGGTACGCATCCGTGACTCACAAGTTCTAAAGTACTAACTTTCTTCATAGATTTCAGGTCAATTTTATCTAAGCCCAATTCCTTGTCGTGATGAGCAAATCCATATTCGAAAAATCCTTGCCCGGGAATTTGCTTGGGCGGAATATAAAGGCTTTGAATGCTGTCGTAATGGTGTTTGGTTGGTTCCATGTGGATAGGATGATGGGCTTGGAACTTACTCGCTTCTGGTATGACTTGGACAATGCGCATGCTCGGTTGGTCTTTCTTTCCCCAGCTTACAAACCAAACTTGGTCTAAATGTGCCACGTACTGTAACGAAACAGGTTTTGTCTCCGTCTTGATGTACTGGAAGTAAACATAAGTATTTATTATATGAAAATGCGATTTAAGATTTAAGATTCCCTTTTTGCATACGGAACGAAAATAGGTCAAGTGGTTCATCAAGAACAAGAGTAAAATACAGAATACAGTGAAGTACTGTACAGAACAAATTAATTAAAAGTATATTCTTCCACAAATAGATATAACTTCTGATAGGACGTTAGTGCTAGAACAACAAAAATCCCTTGTATATATCAAATTTGCTGGCAGATCATTTTAAGAAATTACATAAATCTGCTGAAACTGTATGATGAGTTTTAATGGAAATTATGTTTGAGGTTTATCTGGATTCCAGATATCTAGGCTGAATAATATAGAGATGTTTATATTTATGTTTTGAAATTTAAAATTCACTGTGAAAAAATGCACAGTGAATATGTAAACTGGCTATCTGTACTGTACCTCAACTATCTGTTCGTTCCCTATAGCAACCACCACTATCCTGTTCTCCATTGGCTGTGTAGCGTATATAAAACGATTTTGAACTTCAACAGCGCCTCCCCATACGCATCTTAATTGCCCAGTCTTGTTGAAGACGTTGCAAAGTTTCTCGTTCGTATTTGGTATCATATCATTTGACAGCTTTCTAAGGTGACCCTCACACGTGACCGGGTCAATAGACATTATACCATTCTTGTGAAAAACATAGAATAGGCTTCGAAGGGGATCATGTGATACTGAAAAATAAATGAGGCATATTTCTAAAATGGAACAAATTTGTATGATTCATATGGTATGGTTGGGAACTTGTATTTTAATTTTTTTGTGTAAATTGATCTCTAATCGAGTTATTGTGTCTAAATTATTTATTAGGCCTACATGACTCCGATATAATGCATCAATGAATGAATACTTGCATTCAGATATTTTTTTAAAAATCAATTCGTGAAATAGAGCGTGATAAATTATGTCTATAGAGTTCGTCATTTTTTCGACATCATTGCAGAAGGCAACCAATTTAGCAAATGCATTATAGAACACACAGGTTGCCGAAACCAATTTTATACTCGTGTTTAAAACATTCATTCGATGTTCGATATCACCGCACTTCGTTATTCGTAACCTTGTCGGGGGAAAAATAACACAGTACAGGTCTTCGAAGCTTGCTTTTAGTTTATTACCGACAAGGGTTTACTGTTGTTTGTCGTGTTTTTGTAATTATTTGACTGTTACTAAAGTAACAAAGTCAGTGTAATGGAGCAAATTGCAATCTATCGGAATGCTTATGTCTGTTTCCGGCAATGTACTCTCGATTGTCGTAAACACGTAGATGTTTTTGTGTATATTGGCCGTATTCGACTGGTCGTTCTTCGTTAAACCACGCCCACATTGCGCAGTGGTAAAATCCTACTTAACGAAGACGACCAGTCGAATAGAAAACTAGTAAATACTCGACAAAACAAAATGGCTGCATACACGCTACGTAATCAAGGCTGCTTCGGATTGTGGCAGTATGGGTTTTTCGTAAAAAAATGTTTTCAGCCAGTTTTTGAATTCTGTTAGCCTACAATTATTGACTTCATTGTGGGTAAATATTATAATTTTTATTTTCTGAAATTTAATCTAAATTATATTAACGCAAATGTTGTTGCTAAACTGACCAATCGGCCATTTTTTTGGTCACGTGCATAGTTTAACGCTGATTAACGCATTTTGTTGTCAACGAAGTCTATTTTACGAACCAGTCGAATGAAAATAATACTCAACGAAAATTCGTACTCAACGAAATGAACCAGTCGAATAAGCCCATTCGTTTAAAGCCGATTCACAACATTGAACGTTCAAACACTTACTTGGTTGTTACACTTAAGATCTCGTAATCCTTATTTTACATTACTTTGCAATGTTGCATAATATTGTTTGAAGGTTCTGAAAAGAACTGTTGTTGTCGTTGAGAATATCTCGACTTTTCAACTGAGTTGCTTCAATCGTCTTCAAGGGAATAATAGGCCTATCTGCAGAAATACCAAAAAAAGTGAAATACTTATATGTTGTTTAATTATAACATATAAGTATTTCACTGTTTTGGAATTGCATATATTATTCTCTTGAAGACAATTAAAGCAACTCAGTCGAAACGCCGAGATATTCCCAACCAGCAACAACAGTTCTTTTCAGAACTATCTGCGGGTGTACCGCAAGAATTAATATATATAATGTTGCATATTATTATCTAGTTTCTGAAAAAAAATACCGTCTTACATATTGCTTCTTCTTCTACGAGTACTGCGTTAACTTCTTCTATACCAATATCATTCCTAGCGCTGCAGATAAATCTACCAGAATTCTCAGTTTTACTGTCTTTGATCGTTAACGTCCTGTTGTTTAGTGCTGAATGAGATAAAATAAAAGAATACAAAGTTTCAGACGGAGAAACAACATTCAATTACCAAGCATATAATGTTTAACAATTTATGGTGACGAGTTGATGTTTGAGAGAGTCATTGGGTCTAAAGGAAGTAAAAACAGGTTAATAAAGAACTTCTCACACATCACACTGGGGTCATCTTTCTAATTAATTAAATTTATATCTTATTAATGGATGTGCTCTTACTGGGCACGTGGCTCACTTGATACTGTATTTAATTTGCGCCAGCGGAGGTGATGGTCTATATACAGCGTGATCTTTTAAGCTAGTTAACTTGTGCATGAACCTGATGTACGGGACCAACGGCCTAGACATCTACTCTGAATTACGCCACGCTATATTTTCGACTTGCATTTCAGTCACGGTTAAAACACAAGGGTAGTAGTCCTGTTGGGATGTCAGTTCCATTAAGCTTCCACACCCTTGAATATTGTTGCTAAAATCTTTTAAACGTATATCATACACTCATAACATTGTGTTTGTGGGACATGCGCGTATTCCTGACCTCTGCTATTGTAACAAGTCACTTATTAAGTTCGACTGGTACTCTGGAAGGGTCCATTAAACCAAGAATCAAAGGATCTCAATTGTGCAGCGCAAACAAGGTGGCCATTACCAGTTCATAATTAACGCTTTCTATAATTATTCGAGTTCAGCTTTTTAATTGGACTCTGCAGAGCTTTTGGTTTCTGCAATAAAGCTTAATGATATACGGTAGGCCCTATATCATTTTACCTGCAACTTCATTTTCCTTTAGTCTTAGTCCATTTCGCTGCCAAGAGATCGTAGGTTGTGGTACTCCCCAAGCATTGCAATAGAACTTAGCCGTCGTTCCAGTTGCAACCAGCTGGTTTTCCGGGCAGACACGAACCGTTGGTGGAACTGTAACCAAATACAGTATAGCATTTTCAATATTATGATTTAAATATTTAACAATTTTTTAATATATCAGCTTTATTGCTTTTACCCTGTCTCTTATACACATCTTGATATCTTAGGAACACCTTTAATATGTTCATTTACTTCGACAACTTTTTCAGTAATGTAATCTATAATTAACTGTTTTCCAGTGTTTGAATTCCCGCAACTAACGACAAGATATCCCCCGAACGATACGTACGCGAGTGCGTGTGGTACGCATCCGTGACTCACAAGTTCTAAAGTACTAACTTTCTTCATAGATTTCAGGTCAATTTTATCTAAGCCCAATTCCTTGTCGTGATGAGCAAATCCATATTCGAACGCAAAATGCATAAGAATAATGATGATCATGATGAAATAAAATGTATTTACCTTTTACGCGTACTGTGTATGTTTGCGTCGGTAATATACGGCCACGAATGCTGCACGTATAATTTCCAGCATGCATTGTAGTTACAGGCGTGAAATACAAATTGCCATCTCCATAAATCTAAAACAATAAAGAAGATGATATAAAGTTAGTATATTAATAATTCAGAATAACAATGGACGCTTCCTAACCAAATAAATTTCGGTTTAAATAAACACACGTTCTTTATATAACGAATACAGTATATTCAATATTGCATTAAGATGTTGCAGAATTGTAGATTATTTGATGAAGAGTTATTTTTATGCTTTTTACAGCCAACAAAGATTATCGCAGTATGCGCATCATACCATGTGAAGTCGTGCCAAAACTACAGTAAATGAGGTTTCATTTCAATAATGAGAAGAAAAAAAACAATTTCACAGTACAGCATACACAATTTAAATCCAAGTCCGATGGGTAAAACACTGAATATACAAACACAAAGATATAATCCCACTCTTTGTTTGACTTTTAACAAATACCGTACCAAAACCTGTGCCAATGTTCTTTCACTTATACTGCTGCCTTCTTGGTAACCTGCAGCTTCCAAATAACATAACTACTTCTAACTCTCTTAGCAACTTTAAGTCACATTTTCGGTGGCTATTCAAATGTGTTGCGCCTTTGATCTTGTTTGGAGTTGGCGCCATTTAAATTTGAGATATTGTTATTATTAACAAACAACATTTTAGTTTATTTAACTGATAAACTATTAACCTTAGTGAGTATTCTAACTATGTTTCTTAGCACTGAAAACCACTCTGATTTATGAAAAATAAAATTAAGATGAATATTTCACCTGAATTCCATCAATGAATTTAAGTTGATCAAGTGCTATACCATTTCGCGTCCACACAACGTCTGGTGTTGAATCTCCGCGAATATCACATCCTAATACTAGTCTTTCTCCAGCAGTGGTTATGGTTACCTTGGTTCGAAGACTCTCATCAAGTTCATATCCACCGACTCCTGTTGGAATTAAAATAATTGTTTATTTATTCCTATTCTGTGCCGCATATAACCGATAATACATTGCAGAAGCGCATATTTGGTGGATATCGGCGCTACAGGTATATATTATGTTCTATTCTATTCTATACTTCTGATGAAGTTTGTTGCAGTTTAAACCGCTTGTGTTCGGATCACTCGCAGCTCAATGGACCAAATCCCCCGTCTCAACACAACAATCAAAGAACAAAATTTATCAAAATATTTGTTATTTGTTTCATATATAATTTAACAGCGCAAAGGATGAACTTAAGATAAACATACACGTTTGATACTTCACCTCGTTTAGGAAGTGAATTCTGTTTTTGGTCGTGAGAAAAATCCTGTTACTTCCACAGGAATTTGACTCAGGACCATGGAATTAATTGGAAGACAAGCATCATAACCACCAAGCTTCACCTTATTCTACTACTCGTATCTGCAATTATTAAAAAATTGTTTATGCCAACATGTACACAGACTGATCAGAGGTTCGTTTTGAGAAACAGTGAGTGACGTACCGAATGCTTCGAAGAATTCGGCAGTAGACCACTTCCCATCACCGTCTGATTCATGCTCTGCCAATACATCGGCCATCGTACAATGTGTTGAGATCGGCAACAGTTCATCCCTCGTCATAGAAACTAATACTTCATTTTTACTTATGACGTCATCTTGATCCAGATCGTAATGATTAAATATTAGACCCAGTAAAAACGTTTTAGAAACTGAAAAAAAAGTAAATGAATCATTATATATTAGCCATTATAGCAAGAAAATGATAATTGTGTGACTGATTTGTATGGGTGCTTGCGCGCGTCATTGTCATTTGTCACTATGGACACGCTGGATGTGCGATCAATCAGTATGATTGTTTAATCAATACACGGTAATGTAGTAATTGTTTAGCCTGGTCCAACCAGGGAACAGTGAAATTTTCCGACTGAATATGATTCCTTTTAACCTCGTGTTTGCAGTCTAGACTAAATGGGCAAGTCCGTGCTTACTGTTGACTGCCAGGGGCTCGCATCTGCGAGGGTAAACTATTTTGGTAGAAATAGGCCCATTTTCAACGCCATGTATCATTATCACGAATTATAATATTGTTAAGTGATGAGGAAAATATGGTTCGCATCCGGGTAACTCAATTTATTATACTTACCTTTGTAATCACTAATAGTCGTATCTATGTGCTGGGGATGTTTAAATTGCGTCGTATAATGCTCAAGAACGCGACTTTTAAACGTCTGCTTGTTAATACCAGAACACGTAACACCTGCAAAAAAAAAAAAAAAAAAAAAAAATATGACAACATTTTACATAACTTTATCACACCAATACCTATGGCAGAATTCATGGTGATAAGAGCTGTAATTAGGCCTCCAGGAATACTTAACCCCAAAACTCGTATTTTTTACATTTGTGTGTGTGTGTGTGTGTTTTTTTTTAATGCGACATTTCCTTTATTTTGTTTTACTTTCAATTCTGGTTTTATTTATTTATTTCAGCAGCCATGCACCTAAAATTAGTCAGTACACACACTACCATTATTTAAAAACAAATTAAATTGCAAAATTAAAAATACTCTATTATTATTCCATGCTGATTTTTTCACTCTCCAAAATTAATTTTGTTAAAGTGATTGGGTGCTCCAAGTCCTATATGATCAAGACCGATGGCTGATGACCCGAAGTGTTAGTGTTGCGTATTCCTCGAACATAATAATATGCGATCCACTTTCCAATTTAAATTGGCTGTCACTACAGTAAATGTGATGACTACTTCTTTCATTAACATATACATCATCTATCTGTACGAGTAACAAAAGGGTTGTACAGTTGAAGGTTGATTTGATAAAATTTCAGTCAATAACAATTATAATTTTGCGCATGTAATTCCAAAGGAACTCCTGTTTTACAAAGAAGCGATTTTTACCGTATACTTAATTTGCTACTTGTCTGATGAAGAAAACAACCATCAATATAATATGTAGGCTTATATTAAAAACAAAAATGATATACAGTTTGCATGTAAGTTGTCATGTACAACAATACTCGATTAATGTATTGCATTGTTTGTTTGTTTTTTAGTTTTCAAAGCTAGATCTTACGTGTGTTCTCAAGCATTTTAAAGTCGTGAATTGGTGTACTGAAAATCACCCTCTATTAAATTTTTCAAAATTATAAAAAAAAATGGAGAAAAAATAAAACTATAATCAATTTAAGTCTGAGTGCCATTTCCGGCCATCCAACCTGGCCCCTCTATTCCGAATTCCTGGATCCGCCACTGAAAATGTTAGGTCTACAACGGTTACATTTCATTTAAACTTACCTCTATTAAAACATTCATTATTGTGATGAACCGAAATTTTACTATCGGTTACACAAGCTGTTTGGTGCAAGTCGCAATGATTCTCATACCATCGATTGTCCGAGCCACATGTAGGATTCAAGTGGACCGGACATATCGTAACGCATGTACATTCTGGTAACCCGGACTCATCTATGGTACACGTTGAACCTTGAGGGCAGGTCACCCTACGACAATCATCTGGGGAAATTATGATCAATAGTTTATTCATTTTTAATTCACATACACTTACATTTCGTAACGCTGAGTAAGTTGCTACTGCGCGTGATTGCACAACATGACGCAGTTGTTAATTTTCACCCAGTGTTTCGCTCAAACGTGGAAATGCGTGAAGCGTGGTGTAAAGTGTTAGGTGATGCATTGAATATAATATTTTAAAAAAAATGGAATATAGCCTTGAAAGAGATATATAAGCATAGGCCTACACATATACACACTTGACCGTTAAATATCGCAACATTGATTAATGTAGTACTGTGTTAGATATTCCATGTACGTGATAAATGTCTGTTTTATTAGTTGACATGCTTGTAGAAACGTTAATTGAAGTAGAGCTATATAAGACTCTAGGCCTCGAGGTCGCAATGTATTTATGGAGACTACAAGGTTTGACAAACGGTAGGGGATGAAATGAGAAGCATTCAATGATGTCGAATTTTGTTGAATTTGAAAGAAATGTTGAAAACAATGTGTGCGCACCTCTGTAGCCTTTTTGATTTATTACCAATACTATCATCATCGTCAGCAACAGCAGCACCATCATCATTCTCGTTATTATTGTCACTATTATTATTCCTGTATTATTATTATCATCATCAATTATTATTATTTATTAATATTAAAATTAATATTAATATTAATACTAGGCCTATTATCAGCATTATTTAATAATTTATTATTATCCTTGTTATACATTTTGATTAGTATTATTCATATAATGAGAGCAGTTATCAATCACATACATTTTTATTACATCATTAATGACTTGGATTATTTATAACAGTGCGTGTTTTATATATATATATATATGATTATCATACTTATTCATTATGTTCATAATGTAGCATTACTGAGGTATAATTGGTTAGTAGGCTTATCATTTTATCATTATTAAGGTATACGGCTATCCCAATTTACGATGGGGCTTGAATAAAGTTATGAATAAGCCTAAGAACTAAAATAGATGTGAAAATGAATATTAACATGAATGTATTGTTGTTCAGTATTTTAATGTATTTTATGCCTTCTATTTTTTATACTATTTTTCCCGTTTTTAATGTTTCATATATCATTTTACATGTAATTTGGCACCTTGCCACGATTTGTAAATTGAGACTAAAGAATAAAGAATAAAGCATAAATAATAGACATGCAATAAGGAAGATATTCTTATAGAATTCCGAGCCGAAATGAAATGATAGGTTACATAGCTAAAGTGTATATTGCCCTATTGTGTATTATGTACCGTATATTTTCTATTGTTATATATATATATAAATCATCAAAGGTACATGTACAGTGTTTAAATAACTCCCTTCAATATCATATATA